ATATGTTTGCGAATAACTTCGCATAGATTTCAATTTTGCTATATTTCACGCATTTTTTTAAATTATGTAACTCTTACAACTACAAAACCACCCCAATGATTATACTAGTGATGCAAAGGTGCAAAATTTCGACTCACCAGCTACGCCTGGTTTCGGCCGATTTCGTAGCCCTTCCTTAGGAACCATGCTGGAGGCGATCGAATGGAAAAATATGCCCCACCGTTGTACACGATATTGAGATTACTGGAAAAATTCATAATAATGAATAAATAGGTAGTGAGCAGCAAAATAAATGGCGGTATTGATGCATTACTGATCCGTGGATACATGCTAGTCACGACCTTTGTGATAGCGAGATTATTCGTCAGAACTTCTACCAAAGAAACCAATGAAGTGGCATATATTTGACGTCGTTAACGAAAATTCATCCTGATAACCAAACTAGCTCAGAGAATCATCATCAATCAAAAGGTCCCACGGATATAGAAGTCGAAAATCAATTGCATCCTATCAAAAAAACCATTCCTTCTTCCTTTTCCTGAAGAAAATGGAGAAGGTGGTTCTCCTTTCCTCTCTCTCTCACTTCCTTGCCTTCGCTTCAACTCTACCCCAAATTTCATTCAGTAATGAGACCTTGAAGCTTGAACTATATAAATTAGCGACATAATTGTCAGAGCCACAAATGTAGTGATAGAGATTGAAAAAAGGCACGTATAGATGGAGAGATTCTTCATTACCCTTCGTTATACCTATATTTACTTATTTATTTACTTAGTATATTCAGTTATTTACTTAATTACTAACTGATCCAGATGCCGTAGTGTCACAGTGCTTCACTTTGCATATCGGTCACCCCACAGCTAGATAATTGTTCTCCAGAATGTTGGTCTGAGCTGTCCGTGTCAGCCGACTGGAAACGCTCTCGTTAACCCTCTCTGACAAGTCGAGTCCAAGATAAAAACCGACAAAAATCAGATGCCAGGCTGAATATCAAGCAGCCCTAAATTACAGTGAAACATTGACAATCAAATGTCAGCATTGGCTTTCTAGATTTCTAGGCTTTCTAGATATATAGGCCGTCATAGAGAAGAAACTTTCGCTAATTTACAAAAAGACAATCTAGCGGCAGTACCGTAGGTTAAGGATTCATCATTCTGGTATAGGAATGATCATGGAAAAAATCAAAGGTCATCTCAAAGCAGCCAGTTCGTAGTGAGCTGCTTGTAGAGCTCGTCCGGCTTCGTACACACACCAAGTATGTACTTGGAATCATGTCGAAAGAACGCCAACAACAGCACTCCATGAGCGCCATACTAACTCTTCGCTCATTTAATGACATATTACTCAATAAGCGAAGAGTTAGTATGACGCTGCATTACCTTGCAGCTTGCATTATGCATTAACAGTTGGTAGTACTGAACGCCACCGGGAGCGTAACCTGGACCAATGATTGGTTTAATGTGAATAAGTGCTCTGATTCGGGAGAAAAAGAACCTATATAAGCACCACAGAAAACCTTTTTCGACTCCTAACTATCTGAAGAGGGGCCTAAGATCGAAAAGTTTTTTGTGAACTGATATTACAATAGTAGTGATGAAGAAAAAGCTACGAGATCGGATTTGTCCAAATATACCTGCAGCAAGGCCCGTGCTGGATTAAACATCTCAAAAGTATGATCCGGTACGAAAAAAGCCTCCCTTCAAGTGCACTGCTGCTCACTGACACCACCTCGACTGCTTCAGTTTTTCTATTATGAGCCAATTTATGGAATTCCACCAGACCCCCATCGTTTTTGACTAGTTTAAATAAATAGAAGAATTACGATAAATAGAGTTCTGGACAGTCTCCAAAAGAAATGAAGAGGAACTTGAAGAAAATATGAGAGGAAAAGTGAAAAAATTTTAAAAAACATGCATTACAGTAGGTGCTGTCGTCAGCCGCCGAGCAACTGTGAATCAATGAATACAGGCGGCCCAATCTGTGATTATGGGTCAAATCGAAGAGATCATCCACACATTGTTACTTGATATACAGAACAATCTTACCAAAATATAAATAGAAACGGATCCAGTTGAAGAGCTTCATCCTTGTTCTACATAACAGACAACAATAGAGGAATATATGATTTATCACAATCCATCAAATGACTCCTAAAACTAGCAAAGCTGTTCATTCAATTAGAGCATTCTGTAGTCGTCATCCATACAGGAAGTGAATGTTGACATGTACGTCATTCTGGCCGAGTGGTCTAAGGCGCTGCGTTCAGGTCGCAGTCCTCTTCGGAGGGCGCAGGTTCGAATCCTGCGGATGACAGACACTTTTGCCGGAAAA